AAGTTGGTGAGGGTTAAGCTCCTTAGTAGTGATGTCATTATCCGTGAATGGCTTGTAGCATTCCAAGAACTGTTCATTTTCAAGAATAGGAGCTAAGTCACCCTTGACAAATCGGCTTCCCTTCTTTGGATGTCTCTCTTCAAAGATGAACCGTTGGAGCTTTCTTCCATGACCATCGGAAAAATGAGAAACCTTGAAAAACTCTTGGGTTTCCCTTTAACAAGAAAACTTTCCCTTGCCCGGTTTCTTCATAGCGTTGCAAGAATCACTCACTCCTTCAACTTGATTGTCGTGGGGATGAACATGGGAGACCATATTGAACCACTCTATCTCGGGGCTTGAAGGTGGTGTGGTAGGCGGTGTAACCGACTCACAATCCATCTTGATATCGTCCCATTTATAATACTTGTGAACATTCAGGATTGGAGTCATCTTGTAGCTTATTTCCTCCGCACCAAACCTTAAGGTGATCTTTCTTCCACTTACATCAATGATAGTCCATGTCGTGGCTAAGAATGTGATATGATTCAATTGGGTTGATCTACAAGCCAAGGCTGCTTAATCAAGAAGCCATGATATTCACTAACAAAACCTTTGAATTTTGGCTTTCTTTTTACGGTTTTAGGTAACCCACTTGGCAAGCTTGTTCGTCACACATGGATCAATGGAAATTGGGTTTCAGGGGCTTGTTTGAACGATGGAATGCCCCTCTACAAGTTCATAAGCATGGATGCTAAAGATAAAGCCAGGAGGATCGTGTTTGGAGCCTCTCAAAACAACTTAGCTAAGTGTTGGAACGTGATCGGGAAGGCAACTTGGAGGCCCCATTCGAGGAAGAGCATTGAGAGTCGAGTGCCAGAAGTCATACCACATGAAAGTAGGTTTCTTTTACTTTATCGACAAGGCATTGGGTGAACAAAGTGATCCTTGGAAGAGCTCGAACGAGAAGGTCAAAGTTCCTCATCGAAGCTGATTTTCTGCCTGGAAGAACAAGTAATCCGAATCCTAGTCGGATTAGGATTCGTGCCCTGTTTTGATTCAATTTCCTTTTCGAGTTAGATTTGTTTTCCTTTTCGAGTTGGATCTTGATTAGGACATTCTTTACTTGGTTTGTAAGTTAGATAGCCTATTTAAAACCCAAGATTGCGATGTAATGGTTAGTTTTTAATGTTCAATTGAATAAACTGAGAGTTTATCTCCATAGCTTCTTGCTCGTGGAATCTGGAGATTGTTGACAACTTGATATTTGCACATGTATTTGTCCACCATTCTTATACTGTTTGAGCCTCGTCTCTCGTGTTTTAGGCCGATTTCACACTAGGTTGTTCATGTTTGTGATATTTCGTGTTCTATTACGTGAATGAAGGATTGGGCACGAGTTCAGTGTCGATTGGACGAAGTTGAGATGTTTGACGAAAAGCTGAGAATTTTAAGCGGCCAGCCCATGATTTCATGCAGTCGTGCATCATGGGCGTGCACGGGCAAGGGCCGATTCTACGCGGCCGTGTATATGATTTTTACACGGCCAGTGCTGTATTGGCTGTGCAACGACACACTTTGGCCGTACGGGATGTCCAGGGGGTCTAAATGGGCAAGGCTTAATTCTACACGGTCGTGTGATGGCCGTGTGACTTCCTTCAACTAACCAAGTGCAACACTGCGTTTTGGGAGTTACACGGGCAGGCTGGATTCTACACGGCCGTGTGGTCCGTGAATTTCTGGGTTTTAACCCAAATTCGGGTCTTTGAAGGGGGCATCAAATTTTCTGAGGAAAAACAAAGTCCTAGAGAGGGAAAGTGCGAAGAACAAACCCTAGTATCAATTCTAGAGCTGGGTTTTATCAATGAAGCTTGAATTTCGTCCTTGGAGTGAAGATTATCATCCCGGAGCTTATCGTACACATCATTATGGGTATGATTCCTCTGATTGTTGTTTTCTACTCTTTCTCTATGGAGTAGAACTTTCTCTCACTTGGGTATGAAGAACCCTAGTTCCCTGTATTAGGGATCATGATTGTAATGACTTTTGGGATGATATACTGTTTGATTATAATCAATTGAAGTGTGTTTATTGAGTCAATTGAATCCTGATCTACTTCTTTTGATTTCTGTTGCAACCTGAGATAGATAGAATCTGATTAGGTTGTTAGAGCTTGTTTAATCGATAGGAGTGAAGTGATTGTACGAGAGTCAATCAATTCACTGCTTTATATTGGAATATGTTTCCAGTAATGGAGTTTTGTGTTAATTGCCTTAGAAGTTTATATTCCGGTGAAGACTAGTCGTCTGCCGGTTAGTCTGTCTAAGAGGGCTTGATCAGCTTATGAGATTCCAAGCTACTGTCGGATCTTCCGCAGTTTAATCAATAGAAAATCAACCAAAGGAAATTACAACTTGGACCTAACTAAGGAGCTTGGGGGACTCAATCCTGAGTGACTCTTCCCTTGCTTAAGAACTTCGAACAACTTCCTGCTTTCTTTTTGTTTACTTTGAATTCACCTTCAAAAACTTAGTCTCTCTAGAAAATAGAAGTTCATGGAGTAGGTAGTAGATCTGGACCCCGGTTGATAATTGAACTTACCACTACATTTCCATTTTGCGATTACACTTGGTCGCGGTTTGGTGTTGTGTCATAGCGTGTCAAGTTTTTGGCGCCGTTGCCGGGGACATTCTAGGTTATTGTAGAAATGTGAAAGTCTGTTACTTTAGCATTTTCTTTACTGCATTCTCTCTCTTCCACCTGTGTGCCTTCACAGTTTGGGTTTGCCGTCTGTGTGCAGGTAGTGCATGACCCGTAGCCAGTCGGGAAATCTACTACCGTTGGACCAAGAGCTTGAACGAACCTGTCGCAACTTCAAGAGAGCTTTGAAAGAACTACTGGTTGCGGAGGAGGCTCTAGCACAGCTAAACATCAACTAGGAGGAAGAAATGGGTGAGCCTAATGATTGCGGGGAGCTTGTCCCCGATGAGCATACCATGGGATACTACTGGACCTCCAGGGTAGCAGACATGAGGTCCCCCATCCAACACCCTCAAGTTAAGGCCAACAACTTTGAGGTGAACACCTCAGTTATCACCATGCTGAAAGGTACGGTGGTATTCCGTGGGAAGGCAGGAGAGTGCGCGCTTTCGCACCTATGGCAATTCCATGAGCCGATCGATGGAATCAGGATTAATGGGGTCCCTACGGATGCCATCCAGCTGAGGTACTTCCCAGCCACTCTAGAGGGACAGGCAAAGGAGTGGCTGGACACCCGACCTCCAGGATTGATCACTACATTCGCCAGCCTGGCCGACAAGTTCCTCACCTGTTATCATCCTACATCTAAGACAACAGACCTGTAGAAGGAGATCACTCATTTTGCACATGAAGAAGATGAGACCATCCGGGACACGTGGGAAAGATACACCAGTCTTTTTCTGAAGTGTCCCAATCATTTCAACGACGCCTTTAAGGTGGGCACCTTCTACCGGAGTCTCTCCCCTGAGATAAGCAGCTGATTGACTCGGTATGTGGCGGGAACATGCTGGAAAGGACGCCACCGCAGTTAAATCAGCTCTTTGAGGAGATGGTAGAGAAGGGATATGATTGGGGGACAGGCTGGGGTGTGCATGTTGTGGACACCCAGTCATCTGAGTTGGTGCAGGTTGTCTCAAAGCTGGTTTCAGCTATGGATCGTAGTGGGTTGACCGGGACAGGACAGCAGCAGGCAATGCAGTGCCAGCGGTGTGAGAGCACAAATCACAGGGTGGAGGACTGCCAAGCCATGCGTGAGTTTAGCACACCGCAGGAGCAGCTGAATTTCATTAATAATGCTTTGCGCAACGAACCCTACAGTAGTACATACAACGAGGGGTGGCGTCAGCATCTAAATTTCTCCCGGAATGGCAACAACAATCCCAAGCCACCGGGATTCCAGGCGCCTGCAGCTGGTTTTCAAGTACACGGTTGGTGCGTTCATTCTTACTATAGCGAGGAACACTCTTAGGATGACCAGAATATAAAAGTTAACCTAATGAAAACAACTTTTTTCCCCAGTTGCTTGCTGATCTTTATATGGTTGTTGCTACTTATTTTTTTGCTATCCATCAAGGAAATTTCAGTTGTTTGTTGGCCTTTAAATGACTCGAGAGGAAAAAATGATAAATTAGGTATAATAGCTAATCGGGAATGAAAAATAAAAACGTATTTAAATGAGATTGGTTGACCTTTCAAATATTTTATGTATGATTTATAAGTTGTATATTGACATATTCAATTTATTATAACAGAGCTATGTACAAATGATAATGGTGCATATGATCCACCCAATCCATAACTAATTTGTATTTTTTTTTTCCAATCAGGGGTAGGGAGAGTGTATAGCAGGTGGCTCCTAAGGACAAAAATGAGTATATTAGTATAATAGTATGTTTTTTTTACAATAGTATATTAGTGTAATAGTAAATTGAGAATGAAATTTAGAGCAATTTTGATTGAGAATGGTTGACCAAGAGACCATGTGTTCGAATTTTGACGGCCCCATTTGTTAAGTATATGATATTCGTATTTGCAAAAATTTTAAACACGTATATGTTGGTTTTCGTTAGCGAAAAAATGTTAGTGAATACTAAATAGTATAAGATCTATTATTAAATCTTTCACAAAAACTCGAGTCCTTAATATTAAATAATGCTGACAAAAAACAACATTTAAAAGCAAATTTCTAACAATATCATGAATATTTGTTTAAAACATATTATCTTGTATTCTTGTTTGCTGGGTCGACCCGGCCTCCCCGTGACCCAACGTTACAAACCCTGTAAAAATTGACTCGTTTGTTGTCAGTTCGAGACTGCGAGTCAGACTTGGTATCGTCTTCGTTCCTCTCCGTTGAAGCAAAGGAGGACCATCGTTCCGTCATCCTACTTGGGCTCCTCCCCGTCGGAACTTTCCCACAGCTTCCTTCGATCCCCTGCCGAAATTTACCTCCCAAGTGGTTTCAATGGCGTAATTTGATGATGGCCTCAACCCTAACTCTCCGTCCGTCCACAATTCTGTCCTCCTCTGTCGTAACGTTTCTCGACGACAGGCTGAACGACCTGCAATATCTCGAGCAGGCACCTACTAGTGTCTCGGAGCTACAATCCCAATGTCTCAATTTAGATAATTCTCCAGTCGGGCTAAATTCCAGCCTCGAATCGAGTCTTCTCGGTTACGCCTCCTTCTCCGATCGGGTTCACGTCCTGATCACTGATACCGCTGCCGAGCTCACCGCTCTCGATTCGTCGACGGCCGTTTCTTTTGTAGGTGGACGAGCGAAAGAGAAGGCATTGGCAGAGGAGCTTCCGGCGCTGGCAAAGGAGGTTGCCAGAGTGAAGATAGTTCGAGATTATGCTGGTGAGTTGCCAAAATCTTGTTTGCTTCTATTATTTGGGAATGTTAAATTTACCAATTGTTGGAACTTCACCTATTCTATTGTTCCGAATTGGTAGCGATTAGTGTTTTAGAGATGGTGAGCGCCTATGATGATCTATTGTCTCATTCTATGCTTAGCTCCTTCACCAATGTTTAGAGGGCGCCAAATATTCAATCAGCTTCTTTTAAGGCCCAAATGTGTTCCTGGATGAATAGCTTGCTTGGAACCAATTTTTCGAAAGTATATCTCGATTGGAGTACTTTGTTTACTTTCTCAGTTAAGGGGTTTCTGTGGGTTCGCTTTCTTTGTAATGTACTAATACCAGACATCAGAATGCATGATGAGGTTAACTCATCTGATACCAATGTTTGGCATTCGAGTTTAAGAATAATATAGGACTCGGGCAGTTATGTATTCTTTGTGCGTAAAGCTCATGGTCATGCTACTATTTGTTAATTGATTTAAATTTAATTTCTTGCCCCAGGAAAATACATTAGTTCTTGAATTAGGCGTCGTGTGGATACATCACCCGTGGGTTATGTTCTTCATGGCACCTACTTAGTTGTTCATTTAGGCTGAAAACATGGTAAAGATAACTACCTATACCAATAAAGTGGCATGCATCAGCTGTTCTGTTTTGACAGCTGATGTTGATGCAGCTCCCATCTGCCGTTTAATTTCCAAGTTCTTACTTTAGGATTTGATTTGTGTTCACACTTAGCAGTACCTTTTCGACATTGGCCAAGGTTTTGAAACAGAGAGGGTGTGGTGCTTCTGCTTGTATAATTGTTCATTCATGCGGTTTATTTGGAAAAGTGCTTACTTAAAGCTGGGCATGATGTAAACTATATCAATATTATATCAGCATGTAGCACAGAGGCTCATGATTGAGAGCCTGGTCATCATTTTTGAATTTCAGTTCACATTGTATGCTCTACCTGCTTTCTAGATTGTCTCAGTGCTTAATCTCCATTGGGTTTAAGCTCTCTTTTTGAACTTTCAAATGAAAAGGCAATATATTTCTAGTTTTCCGACCTGTCTCTTGTATTTCCTCATGGCATCGAGATCATCCAAATTAGTGGGGACAATTGTACTTCTTGTTGAGATATATGTGCAATATACACACAGATACATACTATCTTCATATCTGTATATTTATGCGTTAGTTTTCGTCTTCTGGCTTTTCATTCTTGAATTATTTTTGTAATTTCCCTCAGCCCTTGTTGGACTTTTCAGAAACTGCATTGAAGCTTGTCAGTTTGGTGGGGGATATTGAAGATGCTGTAGCTTTTGTAATGAACAGAAAACTGCATAACCCGTCTGGCTCCAGAAAGTTCAGAGGTGAGAAGACTTTATTTTCTAGGAGCATATTTTATCAAAGAACATCTTTTAGGTGCATGGTTTATCTTAATTTTATCCTTTTTCTAGGATATGTGTTTTCATGCTATTGAAGCACTTGAGAAAACTGAAATGTATTGACTTCTATTACAAAGAAACAGTCTCAATGGACCCAACTTGTATCAGTAGTTGTTGAAAGAGTAGATCGAGCACTAGCCACATTGAGACCTCAGCAAATTGCTGATCACCGAATCCTCCTTACGTCCCTTGGGTGGCCACCCCCACTTAGTTCCTTGAACTCGCCGATTCGTGATACTAGGGAACTATCTGAAGTCTCTAATCCTCTATTTACAATGCAAGGTGACCTCAAGCATAAATATTGTGAAACCTTCCGTGCGTTGTGCCGCTTGCAAGAGTTGCCGATGCGGAGAAAGGCCCGGCAGCTTGAGGGTTACAACAGGGAAGTTGCTTTACACCAGCCAATTTGGGCAATTGAAGAACTCGTGAACCCCATATCAGTTGCATGGCAACAACATTTCTCAAAATGGGGGATAAGCCAGAGTTCATTTTTTGCTCTCGTCTACAAGAGTACCAGGGACTATGTTGACACTATGGATGAATTGCTACAACCTTGTTGATAAAGCTAGGCTAGTGGGATATAGTTGTAGAGAAGAATGGATTTCGGCTATGGTAACTTCTTTGTCTACGTACTTGGCAAAAGAGGTCTTTTCTGTGTATATTGGGCAAATGGAAGAAGAGCACGTTAGTGGTGTTCAGTCTCAGGCTAGAATATCATTCATGGCTGCATCTGGTCGAACTGATGATTTCTTTTGATCAAGGGGTTCTCTCTCTGGCAATACATTCTGGTGTACTGATTTCCATTCAGGAAGACAGGAACCTCCAGAAATTGTCATCTCTATCTGTTTTCTGTGATCGGCCGGATTGGCTTGATTTTTGGGCAGAAATAGAACTCAGTGACACACTTGAGAAGTTAAAAGCTGAAGCAGATGATGAGCGGAAATGGAAAGCGAAAGTTCAAGCGGTAGCTCTTATATCTGGTCCTGATAATTACAAGTCGCCTATAGTTTCTAGTCGCTTCCTTCATCACCTGTCTTTAGTGATTGATCGATGCCGATTGCTGCCTACCACATCTTTGAGGTGCAGGTTTGCTCGATTAGTTGGTGCACCTATAATACACAGATTTTTGGAGAGCATGCTACATTGGTGTCAAGAAGCTGAAGGATTGACTGCATTAACTGATGACGAGGGATTGATTAAGGTTGCCAACTTGGTTAATGCTGCTCACTATTTTGAGTCTGTTCTTAAAGAATGGTGTGAGGATGTTTTGTTTCTCGAGATGGGATTTGATCAAATTGACCCTTTTCTTAACGGTAACAGTGGGGCAAGGGGTCCATTCAATATGTCCATGGGTGGGGTTTTTGAATTTGAGATAAAAGAGCTGGAGAGATTCAGGAAGGAGTGGGTTGAGAAGATTAATATCAACAGTTGTTTTGAGGGGATTTGAGGCTAGCTGTCAAGAATACCTGAAAAACAAAAAGCAATGGCAGGAGAAGAGGGAAGACGGCTGGATGGTGTCAAGATATTTAGTTGGTGCTCTAGATTATTTACAGGGAAAGATGGCAGTCACTGAGGAAAATCTGAATCGTATAGATTTTGTGAGTGTGTGTGGAGAAGTTTAGCTTCTGGGATTGATCATGCACTCTAATGGCATTTTTATGAGCAGTGTAATATTCTATGATATTGGTGTTGAAAGTCTTAGCAACGACTTGGAGGTCAGGCACATGACTGTTAGTGAGGCAAAGAAGATACTAAAAAGTAGGATGTTTGGAAGTTTGGCAAATTCAGAACTTTACACTTGCAAGACCCTGTAGCAGTTTGAGAATTTCATACTTGAAATTATTCTTTGTTGTAAATGATTAGGTGGACGTGTGTTAACTCAAAACACATATGTTTTCTCAAACTGAAATTGACAGAAAAAAGAGCAGAATAGTTCCAGTTACCCTTTATCGAGGGAGAGTTTAGTGAAGTGCCTGTTGTCATAGCCTCCTTGGAAATTGGCGTGTTTGAGCTTTTGCTTTCACATTCAATGCTAATGCATAGTCGCCTATATCATCATCCAGTGACGATGTTACGTCACTGAATAGGCTTGAGATTTCCGGCCGTGATAGCCAAAGGGGAGGTACTGAAGTGAAAGTGATTGGGGTCTGGAATCTGGATGTCTGGTTCAGAGGGCTTTTCTCAAGCTCAGATTCTGAAGGCTCTCTGTCTCATTATGACGAATGATGATCGGTTTTTCTCGTTACCTTTACTATCAGCTGTCTCCTTCGTTGTTTTGGTACCATGTGAAGGACCACGAACATGGGAGTGCATCATGTTTCAGTTTCAATATTTGGTTCCTGAGCTTCTGTTTCAGTTTCAACAGTTGGTTGGGTACTCTTTCGCTTTGCACAATTGGAAGAGGGTTGCCAGCAGAAAAGTCGGCAAAGTGAAGTTGAATGAGCAGAGAGCAATATGCTACGACTCGCCGGTCACTCTGGTTGCACAATAATGGTTTTACTTTTGACACAAGTTGTTTTGTACTGTTGTCATTTTGCTGTGATGATAGTGAAGGATGGGTACCCCCATTTTACCAGGACTGTTGGCAGGTACTGTAGTATTGGGGGTGGTCCTGATGGAAATACTTGAAACTGAAAGCTTTGTTTTGAGGGAACACATGCTGCAGGGAAAGGAACACTAGCAGCCTGACATTTTCTGGCGCCATCACCTCGATGATTCCGACAGAGCAACTGTGAAATGCTTTGATGTACTATGCTCTTCGCCTTTGTGGCTTGTGCAGCTCAGTACTTGCCTATTTGGTATTAGTAGAACATTTAAACAAATTCGTAGTTGGCTTCAATTAATGTTCTCGACGTCTTACATTTTAACGGTATATCAGGCTGAAAGGCTTCAATTAATGTTCTCGATGTCTTACATTTTAACGTTTATTTTATGCAAATGCTATAACCAAAGGCCTCATTTTATGCAAATGCTACTCACTACTGGTTGCATTCCAAAACAAGATACGTAGTTACATGATATAGTTCTTTCGTTCGTTCCTACAAGAGTTGGTTCCTGAATGCAACGAACATCTTTGGAGAGAAAAGCAACACACAGGCCAAAACTGAACCGAACAACAACTTGATGGCATATCTGAAAGGGTCATAGTTGTCTATCTCTCCAGCGCTGCCACTCGAGGCTGCAATGGCTTTGGCCGATGGTAAGGCTTCGACAACAACATCAGCCAGATCTGTGATGAAAGACGAGGTGCACCCTAAAGCGGGTACGCGGCCCCAGCTCTCAATCCCAGATTCAAGGGCCAGTTCTCTGTATTCCATGTCGATCTCTTCAAGAGTTTCTATATGCTCGCTCACAAAGCTGGCATAAAGTGGACAAATCCATCAGTTTGAATAAATGATTTCATATTTAAGTTGCTGTTGTTCACAATTCCTGCCAGCAAAAATAAAAGCTATATTTAATCGCATTACCTGACAGGGACAGCCAAGAGGCTTTTCACCCCTTTATTGCCGAGCTCCACAAGAACCTCGTCGGTATAAGGCTTCAGCCACTGGACTGGTCCAACTCGGCTCTGAATATAGTAAAGGAACAAAGTTACTGGCTTTTACTGTGTTATGAAACAGCACATAGGTCATTGATAGAACTGAATCAGTCATGAAGATCAAAAGTAAGGTAACTTGTGCAGTACAGAATGGCCAAACAAACCTGGTAAGCAAGGGTATGATCATTGTAAACTCCCCTAGCCTTCAACTCTTGCATAATCAAGTAAATGCAATCCTCCATCTGATCTTTGTATGGATCTCCTGCTACCTCCACATAACTCACTGGCACCCCATGAGCACTGAAGAATATCATCACCTATATATAGAAAGTTCAATTTTTCAGACCTGAGTCGTGTGAAATTAAGACTGGCCATTGGGAAGTTGAAACCCTCAAAACTCACCTCATCAGGCTTGGAAAATGTCTGCAACTCTTTCTCTATCAAGTCAGCCATAGATTTTACATAACCTTGTCGTTTATACCATGACTCAATGACGGAAACAGGCAATCTTGAGAGATACGCATCCTTGCTGCATAAATTATCAAATGAATGAAGCTTTACACATTTTGCAGGCAAAATGAAGACCGAGGATTTGACCAAGATGGACACCTGAACGTATTCTCAAGAATACGAAGGCTAGAACCAGTTGTAGATATGGAGAACTGTGGATAAAGAGGCAGCACAACAAGCCTTGTTATCCTGTCCTTCTTTATCTGTAAAGCAGAACACTTCAATCAATCAGTTCAAGAGTAGCGCACAGAAGCTTCTCAGTGAAAAAAATAAATAAAAAACAAGGCATAACTGCAACCTGGTGAATTGCCTCCTCTGTAAAAGGGTACCAGTACCGCATTCCAACATAGACATTTACACTCACATCCTTTGCTTGCAAGGCATCCTTGATAGCATGAGCCTGGAAAACCGAAAAAATAGTTTCTGAGAATGAAGAAAGAGAGAATTTGACTCTACAGTGGATACCAAAAGAACAGAAGTTTCACCTGCTCATCAGTTATTTTACGCAAAGGTGAGCCACCACCGATGGCAGCATACCCTTCTTTGCTCTTAGGAGCACGGAGAACAGAAATTAACTGTGCCAATGGCTTCTGAAGAAACTGGAATGGCCTAGGTAAGCGGATAATATCCTGTAGTACGAAATCGAAGTAGAGTTAATTGCTAATCATAAACCAGAAGCACGAAGTCCCCAAACAAGCAATGAGAAAAGAAGGGGGTTGGCCATACTGGATCAGCAAACAAATTGAACAGGAATGGCTGAACATCCTGAAGCGTTTCTGGGCCTCCAAGGTTTAGAAGCAGCAGACCGATTTTCTCTTCATCGGTTTGCGATTGACTCTGGAATGAAGAAGTCCGATGGAAAGGGCAGATTCCTGCGGAAGGAGCAGCGAATGATTGGGCAACAACATTTCTCTTCCTACCTCGAGATCCAGCGTCAATTGGAGCTGCTTTCTCAATAGGGCTTGCAGTTAACACTAGAGAAGTCTGAGCAGATAGACTCTCCAGGAAAGACACCGATGTAACTGACCCAACCTTCGAACTCGAGCTGTAAGCGAAAGAAATTGGATTTCAACTGCAATCTAAGTAATGAAATTCTTACACATTGAAGAGAGTTATAATAGGGTAAAATCCTTCTTCACGAGGAAGGAAAACCCCACCGAAAAACCTGCAACAAAGCGATCAAACACTGGCAAAAAGCGCACATGATCCAACGGAGCTATGACTCAGCCTCGGCTCCAGTACGATAGAAAACAACTTCGATCTACTCAAAGGAAAAAGTTCATCGACCGACAAAGAGAAGGAACCGGTCGAAGACGAAATTCGAAGGAGAGAGGAAAAACCTCGAGAGTTTATGAGAGGCGACGGTAAGTCTCGTTTGGGGAAGCCCGACCGCAATCGACGCCGCTTCCATGATCTTTGGAAGTAATCAAGCGTGGGTGGAAGAACGGAGGAGAATAGGCGGCGAGAAGGAGATTCCGTCACGAGTTAGGTCGGCGGGAACAGCGTTGTTATGGCCAGGAAGGAGGCTTGAGTGCGGACTACCAAGCGGCGATCAGCGTCGGCCGGCGGGTGGCAATTTGCCAATTTTGGAATCAAAGGTACTTTCCATCTTCCAATTTTGCGTGGAAAGGTAAAAGGCAACTTAGTTATGCTGCTCACTCGATAAAGTATCTACTCACGCAGTGGATCTATTGTCCACGTGGGCGAGGGTAAGATGGCGCCGGGTTTGGATTGAGGAAGGGTTTGCCGGTTTGGGTCGGCTGGTGGAGCTCACGGCTGACCAAGCCCATCGGCCCCACCACAAACCAAAAACTGAAACCCACTTTCCCCATTTCAGTTTCTCTCGCCACTCTCCCCACTTCGACTTCCCCTCTCTCCCCCCTTTCCTCCTCTCACGAAAACGACGAAGAAGCAAGTGAAGCGGCGGCGATGAAGGAAGCGGCGACGAGGGACCAGCAAAGCGGCGGCGAGCGAAGCGGGATTTCGGCGGCGACGAAGGCGGGGCTTTCACGGCGGCGAAGATTTGGACTAAGGTAACTGTCTTTATACTTTGTTCATGGGTTTTCCTTTTGTGGATTTGTCTTCATGGATATTCATTTTTGTTTGGATAGATTTGAGTTAGGGTTTCATGGCTACGACTTGATATGGGTTTTCCTTTTGTGGATTTGTCTTCATGGATATTCATTTTCGTTTGGATAGATTTGAGTTAGGGTTTCATGGCTACGATCGGGTTTTCCATTTGTGGATTTGTCTTTTGGGTTCGTGGGTGAAATATTTATTTTGTGGCAATTTATATGTCAGTGGATATGAGTTCGTTCTTCTGTGGATATTATTTCTGGGTTTTGTGGATTTGCTTTGTGTTCCTTCTGATATTAGTTCTGTTAGGCAAGATATGCGTTCTGTTCCTTCTGGATATCCGTTGTTTATTGCCTGTGTTGTCGTTTGATGTATCTTGATATTGGTTTTGTTTGATAATGATATCAGTTATGACTTTCTTGGATAGTTGTTTGATAGGATCTGGGTATTTGTATGTGCAGAGATTTATCAATGGTAAGGACTAAAACAACCAAGAGGAAACAGCGACCGACTCCACGACAGCCACCACCACCGCCACAGCCAGATGAAAATGAAGAAGAAGAAAATGTTGAAGTCGAAGAAGAAGGAGCTGCTAAAGAAGCTGCTGAAGTCGAATCAGGTGGAAGTGCAGAAGAAGATGCTGAAGCTGAAGTAGAAGGAGCTGAACAAGGAGCAGCTCGAGGTCAAAGCAAGGCGAGGTACAGATTTCGGTGCACTCTAAATCTCTGCTACATGTTATAATCTGTTTTGTGTGCGTTCCGATATTATTTATTTTGATTCTGGATATCCATTGTGTATTGCTTGGATTTTTTCTTTGATATTTCTGGATATTGATTTTGGACCAACATGATATCAGCTGTGCCTTGCCTGGATAATTGTTTGATATATCTGGATAATTGTTTTTAATCAGCATGATATGGGTTCTGACTTGGCTGGATAATTGCTTGATATATCTGGATATTGGTTTTTTTATCAGCATGATATCCGTTGTGACTTGGCTGGATAATTGTTTGATATATCTGGATATTGGTTTTTATGCAACACGATATCCGTTGTGACTTGGCTGGATAATTGTTTGATATATCTGGATATGTGTTATTATCCAGCATGATATATGTTGTGAGTTGCCTGGATAATTGTTTGATATATCTGGATATTTGTTCGTGCAGGGATAAGCTCACCGTGAAGAGACGACGACAAAATCCATCGCCGTCACCACCGCCACAGCTAGAGGAGGATGAGGAAGAAGAAGATGCTGAACTCGCAGTGCAAGTACGTGCACAGGCCCACGTTCCACAGCCCCACGTTCTAGGACAAGGCAAGCCATGGTACAGATTTCGGTGCCACACCAAATCCCTGCTAGATGTTATAAAATACTGGAAGGAAGAGCCAAGGTACTACGAAGCATGCAAGAAAGAGTTGGAGAAGGCTGGATTTGGAGGGCTATTGGAGCTTCGTCTGGCAAATGTTCCTAAGAAGTTGTTCGATTCCTTGATGGCACAGTTTGATGTGCAGACCCATTCATTCATTTTCGGTGAAGGGGATAACAAGAAGGTGCATACCATCGAAGCTGAGGATGTTGCCCGTGTATATGGGCTGCCTATTGGTGGTGCTGAGATTGATGTCGTCAAGTCTAACGACAAGATGCTTGAAATGTTCAAGGAGGAGCTCAACATGGAGTGTACTCGTAGTCGAAATGTAGAAGTTATGGATCTTAGAGAGGCAGCCTGTGGTGGTCCAGATGATGCACCGAAAAGGAGACCACCTGTTTCAGCAGCGGTGAAGCAATTTTTGTTGCTGGCTCTTGGTTCAATGCTCGCCCCAAAGATGTAACGACTTTGTGATCTCGATTATGCAGAGTACATGGTTGGAAGGATGGAGGACATTGCCACTTTTAATTGGAGTGGTTTTGTTGCTCGTAATCTGAAGTTTGAGTTGGGTCGGGTTAAGGAAAATGAAGCTGAAGCTAGGGCGCGTGGGAAACAGCAATGGCCTCTCGGAGATATCCACTTCTTAATGGTAACTTCTACTTTAATATTGTTGATATTTTTTATTTGATGGTTGATAGTAGTTAACATTCTAGGGATAATAGTTCATTGCATTCCTGATATCTGTTGTGAACGTTTTTTGTAGATCCATTTGCCAGATTTCCTTAATGTGAGAGGGTTTGCCACCAAAACCATCCCAACCTGCAGCTATTGGTTCGACCCAAGGGTGGATAAGGTGTGCTCAAATATCCCCAAGGTAGCTGACAAATATATCATGGGTCCCATGTTGTTGTCAAGGGAAGAAGTGAGATCCCGCTTCCGTCCAGAGCGTGTCAGGAGGGATTGGGAATCAGGATCGAGCAGCTCGGCTCCTGCTACTGATTGGTGGGCGGATGTTGACTTGGAATCCCTTGAGATCCGAGTTTGGATATTACTTTGTTCTGTCTGGATAATAGTTGCACACTGTTTGGATATTATTCTTACCTGTCTGGATAACAGGCGCCTCTTGTCTGGATATTACTCTGTGTGGTCTGGATAACAGTTGTTAAATGTTTGGATATTACACTGTGCTTTATGGATAACAGGCGCCTCTTGTCTGGATATTACTCTGTAATAGTTGGATAACAGGCGCCTCGTGTTTTTTCAGCGACCAAAGCGAAGAAGGAAGAGGGGCAGATTGGCGAAATTGGTTCCCGTGACCAAAGAGGAAATGGAAAAGGAGGGATACGTGAAAGGCAAGAATATGTTCAGCCGCGTGTACTCTCGGAGAATACATGAGAAGACTCAGGAGGAGCCCGAGGTGGTTCTGGAGCCAGATACAGTTGTCGAGCCTGAGGTGGATGTGGAGTTAGAGGCAGTTGTCGAGGGTGATGTTGAGGCCTCTGTTGTTAAGCCGAGTGCTGAGTTGGAGGTGGAGCCAGAGTCAATTGTCGAGCATGAGGTGGAGGTGCCTGTTGTTGAGTCGAGTACTGATGTGGAGGTACCTATTGTTGATCCGGAGGTTCGCGAGGTGCCTGTTGTTGATCCGGAGGTTCGGGAGGTGCCTGTTGTTGATCCGGAGGTTGGGGAGGGGCATGTTGTTGATCCGGAGGTTCGGGAGGAGCCTGTTGTTGATCCGGAGGTTCAGCATTCGGAGTCCATTTTTGGTCAAGTGAATGTGATGGAGATTGCTCTCCAGACCGCTGCTGCTAAAGTGAGTATAGAGACATCCCCGACTACGGTAAATTTTGGAGGATACCAGTAGTGTCTGTTCTTCCTGGATGTTTGTTTCGTTTTCTGTGGATACTAGACTGTTCTTCCTGGATATTTGTTTCTGTTTCTTTGGAGACTAGCTTGGGCTTCCTGGATATATGTTTCTTTTTCTTTGGATACTAGCCTGGAAAGCCAGGATGTTTGTTTTGTTTTCTATGGATATTAGTCTTGGATATTTCTTTCTTTTTCAATGGATATTAGTTTGTTCTCCCAGGATATTTGTTTCGTTTTCTTTGGATATTAGTCTATTATTCCTGGATATTTGTTTTTTATTATATGGATACTAGCTTAGGCTTCCTGGATATATGTTTCTATTTATTTGGATACTAGCCTGGAAAGCCAGGATATTTGTTTTGATATCTGTGGATATTTGTCTGTTGTTTTGCAGATACCTTCCGAGGATACTGCTACTGTGTTCGATCCTTCTACTGAGGTTCTGACGCAAGGAGAAGCAGCACCATCAGAGGGGGGAGCTTATAGCAGCAGCATGCCAGAGGATGCTGGAGGATAGCGATGATGATATTCTCGTAAGTGAGAGGCCTATGACTCAGGAGGTGGCAGAGTTTATGCAATCTATTACACCAGAAGCATGGAAGGCAACTTTAAAAACTCCTGCATTCGAGAGGTCAAAACACCACCCAATCGACTCATCAGTGTACGTTTTGTCAAAATCTCTGTCGATGAAACTCGACGCTAAGGCACTGCAAGTGGTTGAGTTCATCTTCAGTACCACAGCTAAAGATGAGTAAGTTGTCATGTTTCCTTCTTTAATCGCCAATTTCAATCTGTCAAATTCATGGCTACTAACCTGGTTTTTCATTTTTGTTTTACAGTCACGACTATATCGTGGAAACTCCAAAGGGCAAGCTTAGACGTTGCCAAATTTTGTCATTGAAGCGTAAAAGTTGGGTTCATAGCCAAGTAATTTTAGTATACGGGCAATTCCTAAATGACCAAGAAGATCGTAAGGAGCTGGTAAAGAGAATTGTCTTCCCGTGGAGCTATGTAGTAAGTATTTATCTTCACTACTTAGATCATATTTATGTTGAAAATGTCTAATTTGATATTGTTGTCTCTTCTAAATAGCATCATGCCGTCTCTAATGCTATAAAAAAGCAACCCATGGACAAGGCGAGAGTCTCGGGGTATATTTCTATGCTCAAGAATAATCCATTGTTGATACGAGAAAACTTGGAAAGATGTGATTATGTAAGTGTCTTCAATATTTGGATATGTTTTTGACTTTCCTTGATATTGGTATCGGTTTATAGGATATTTTATTCTTCTTTATCGGATATTATTCTGGGTTGTTAGGATATTAGACAATGATTAACTCACTAAATGTATTGTGTTTCAGATCTTCTTTCCAATGTATCGAGATGATCACTACCGAGTGTATGTCGCTGACATGAAGAATAAGAAGACTTTCCCACTGGACAGCCAAAAGCCCAATGCCCGAGTGGCTAAGGAGGATCATGGACCAGTGGGGAAAGTGATTTTTGAGTATGAGACAGAGTTCTTCAAAGAGCAAGGGGTTGATTGTAAATTGGATGAGTGGGAATTCAGCATTGCTGACGTTCCTCGGCAATTTGGCAACCATGATTGCGGTGTATTCGCTTGCCTTTACATGGAGCTATGGGCGGGTCACCTTCCGGTGGAATGTAAAAACAGTTGGCAGAAGCCGGAACATGTGGAGGAACAGCGAACACGGATTGCAGCTAACCTCCTGTTATGGAACTATAACGGCCACAAGGATGCAATAATTCAAGAAGCAAAAGATTAGAGTATGCAGAAAGAGAAAAGGAAAGGGAAAAAGAAGAGAAATTGATTTTAGATTTGTTTAGGTGTGCTGGATAGTTTATAAAACTTAACTTAGGGTTGGTTCATATTTAGGAATGGATGATGGTTCATATTTAGGATGGAGGATATTTTGGTAGATATTGACATGTGATTCCAGGATACGTTTTTGTGGTGCAGTGGATATTTAACCACTTGTTATGGATACTTGTCTGGGCAAACTTGATATGTACTGGAACATGTACAGATATTAGTTTAGGCTTCCTAGATATTAGTATTAGCAGCAACAAGTACAATAGTATCAATGATTACTTCTTTCACTATTCACATGTGACCTCTTTTGTTACTGTACTCATGTGATCTTTTTTGCTACTGCTGTACTCATGTTACCTTTTTTGCAGTTGTCTATTTAAGACAAATCATACACAAACCCAAATTTCTTCACTATCCTCCACTCTCAATTTCTTCACTTTTCTTCCAAAGCAAAATCCATGTCTGGAGAGACTCCTAAACCAGAGCGCCGGTTTTTGGTGGATGAGTTCGAATATGATGGTGTTATACTATGTTACCATGGTTGGAGAGCTGCTAAACGACTTGTTGTTGATGGAGTCAACCCACCGAAGAGGTATTTCTGATGTCGGATGTACGAGTACGACAATGATAACGGGTGTGGGTTTCACATGGATTGGGACGAGGTAATGTTCCCCGGTTTTTCAGAGTCAGATGATGAAGACAACACCGAGGAGACGGTGAAGAAATGAAGGGTATCGTTCTGGGCTGTATTGATATTAGTATGTGTGTTTCGGATATCTGTTTAGTTTTTTCGGATATCTTTCTGTGAACTTCTGATATTTGGTTAAATAAAGAAGGTATTTGTCTGGGCAGTATGGATATTTTTCTGTTCTTCCAGGAAATTAGTATACAAAAAGACAGATATTTATCCTGCTGCAAAACGTCAAACCTCCCTAAATATTATCCAACCCTAATTAGCATCCATCCCTAAATATTATCCAAGCCTAAGTTCTTGCACATGTGGCTAGTGAAAGAAGTAATCATTGGTGCTATTGAACCTGCTTTTGATAATACTGATATCCACGAAGCATGGACTAATATCTACCCACACTTCTAATAAATATCCATATTGCCCAGAAAGTTATCTGTTAAAAGTTGATTAATATCCACTTCATCACAAAAACGTATCCTGGAATCACATGTCCATATCAGATCACAATAGATCACACTCGACCCACCCAACATTATATTCATTACCATTGAGCAATAGTATCATCCAAATCACTAAGATGGTCATCCGGTTGAGTATTGTTGTCCGGCGTGACCGCTTCATTTGATGCCATTCCCTTCTTATAGACACGTTTCTTTCGACGGCGTTCCTTTTCATTCATAGACTGGTAACGTTCCTTATCGTTTCTCCTTGGATTACTCTTCTCCTTCAAAGTCAGCCCAGTTATCGGTATAGACCGTCCTACAATGTTACAAAATTTAGTAAATGCAATAATATTAAACTCCAACAATTTACAAATAATATTAGTGAATACACTTACTGTCCTCGCTAGTTATAGTCTTTGACAATGCCTTGTTTGCCTCATTGCACACTTTCTTGAGTACTCCCATCCATTTATTGTAGTCTTTCTCCTCGGCCATCGACAATTTCTTTGCTAGTTGATTCAACATTGCAGTGGTTTCTCGGTACCGCATTGCTATACCGATTCCCGCATCATTCTCACTGTCAACTGAAGGACCAACACAACCATCGACATCAACAACCACTTTCTTTCTCGCCTCCAACGTCCATCGCTCGAGTATGTAATATCTGGAATACTTCTCTCCAAGATGCCGCATCACTTTAATCATGTGGCGGCATAACACTACGAAAGTTCTGAACATCCTGCATTCGCATACCAATGTCCTCGTAGAAATATCAACGAGAACGACACGCTCATCACTACGCTCACCATCCTCTATCATATATGTGAGATAGCCAATCATGCCATCATCCCTAGTATCTGAGAGAGTCTCCATTATATAGGGTTCAGTTTTCAAATACTGCTTTTGTATCCGATTGAAGATGTTAGGAGTAAAGACCTTTGCGGCATGTTGTAGGATCGGGCTATCCTCCAACATAATATAAGGAACCGATTGTTTCCCATTGTAGTCTGACTCAGTCTCCTTGCGTCTTTTTTCAGCCAACAAACTACATTAACAAAGCACGAGAAAGAATTAATTTCCCAGACTAATATCCACTCAAACCAATACTAATATCCCAACTACACAAATTAATATCTTTACAATATCATATAAATATCCGGACAATGCTGAAACATATCCAAAACTTAAATGGACTAATATCAAAGAAAGGCAAAGAAATATTCTGCATACCTGCTAAAGTGAATGAAAAACAAGTCCAAATCATGCTTCGGTTTCAAGAAAAGTCGCACTTGTGCATTGCATGACTCGCTGGCTTGCGTAGTCAACATCCCGGCTGTGAATTGATCTCTCAACCATAAGGAACACCATCGACGACGAAGTTTCTTCAAATATTCCAACCATGGGTGACCGTCTGCAATTTCACTATTAGGGAAACAATCAGCAACCATTGTGCTCCAGGCCATGTCGAACTCTCTCTCACTGTCGATGTCGTAGAAAATATAAGAAAGATGAGTTTGGAACTTCTTCCAAAATGCCTTGTCCTTACGAAGATGCTTCTTCGCATTCATGAGGATGTGCCAAGTACAGAGGGCATGAAACACAGTAGGCCACTCCTTTCTAAGGGCAGCAGCCATGGCGGCGTCCTGATCAGTAAAAATAGTGACTGGGAGCTTCTCCTTCATGCACCGACTAAAAGCTAAAAACAACCATTCAAAAGACGGTGTAGTCTCATCATACATCAAACAAGCACCAAACACACACGTTTCACGATGATGATTGAAACCTACAAACATACCTGCACAAGACAACTATTAATGACAATGCATAACCGAACGAGTGTCGAAAAAACTTAAGGGAATTAGGAATTGATATTGTCCCAAAACATGTCAACAAATATCTGTAGAACCCAGACTAGTATCTCATAATGCCATACAAATATTCGTCATTTTACCAAAACATATCCTGTCAGGCCATGTCAATATCGGATCACAAGAGTCCACTCTTGAACCACCCAACACTCTATTCAAACATCCATGCTCCTGACAACTATTACTGACAATCCATAACCGAACGAGTGTCGAAACAAATCAAGGCAATTAAGTGATTCACGTACCTAGTGGATGGAAGTATTTATTGGTTCGGAAGGTGGTATTAAAGGAGACCGAATCTCCAAAAAGCGCATAATCTTCACGCATCCTACTGTCCGCCCAAAAAATATTAGCAATTTTCTCCTCGGAATCTACCTCTACAGCATAAAAGAAGCCAGGATGCTTTTCCTTTTGGTCCTCAAAGTAGTCAAGCAAATAAGTCGCTTCGCCACGAGCCATTTTCCTTTGCCTTTTACTGTTCAAGTGGTTCTTCTGATCGGATTTGGAAAATTTCAGATTTTGATAGCCACCAGCACAGTCAGCCAATAACTGATACGATGCACTAAGACTCATCCCGACATCTCGATTAGCTTTGGCCATCTTTTTCTGAGCATCACTCATGCACTTGTTGGACTTGATAAGGTGAGTATGCTCGGTGGAGTGCAAACCATGATTGTGGCCTCCCACGAATTCATACACCACATATCCGTCTCTAGATTCATCCCATCGAAAACGAACACGGGCACTACATCCAACCCTAACTCGAGGCCTCTTTCTTTTTGGACGCTTTCTCTCCACAACTTTGTCTTCGGACTGTTTTTGTTTCTCCACATCTACTTCGCTAGTGGAAGTCCAACCTTGCTTATTACAAAAGTAATAAAGGTAGAAATAAATTTTCTCCACCTCTCCATTAGAATTCTTCATTTTTTTTTTGTGTTGAGCACCATTTCGAACACCAAAACCCTTTTCATGAGCATAGCGTTTATAGAAAGTCAAACGCTCTTCCTTAGTCCGATAAAATATGTTCTTCCTCGTTTCCTCATCTTCTAGGTGCGATGTCTTGTGAGCTGCGATTTAATTGTATGAGGCCATGTTAGTATCCACATTTAACTTGCCCAGACAATTACCCAACATGCTCACAATAGTATCAAATAGACGTCTAAATCATACCCATAAACAGATTGAATTCTTAGGCTTCGACAAGTATCCAACCTTTAATTACATCGTATCCTTTTGTTCCATAAACGTATCAGTAGCCTCCACCAAAATATCCAATATACCCAGAATAATATTTAACCTATCCCTAAACATATCCATGACACTCTAAAGAATATCCATACCCAAAAACCAAAAAAAATATCAAACCACTTTCATCACGTCCATATTAATATCCAACATGCCAAGGTAAATATCTTAGATGGTTTTACAATGTATCCATGACAACAGCAAATAATATCCACACCCAAAAACCCAATGAAACAGGAGGTTACACCCAAAATAATATCAACACCATTAAATAACATTCAATGCACACAACAAAACTCAACAACACAAACATATATATAATAGAATCCACCTTCACTCTCTTCTTCTTCTTCTACAATGAAGTCACCAACACCATCCGAGTCTTCATCAACAAATTCATCTATTGTAGGATCGAGTTCTTCTTCTTCTACAATGAAGGCAGCCACACCGTCCAACTCGCCGTCGTCGTCGAAAATCATCCTTTCTCCAGATGATCTGCTTGCCGGAAGGAGAGGCTCGCCGGCAAGGAGAGTGTGGACGGCAAGGTTGAGCAGAAAAATAAAAGGAAAAAAGGAGAGAGAGAGGGGTTAGAGAGTGAAAGTGGTGGTTGAGATCATAAATGCCACTTTCCCCTTTTGTTCAACAAATATCCCCATTCCCTATTCCTTCTTCAGCAAAATGGCGCCCAAAATTCTTCCCCAAAGCAAAATGGGCCGAAAATAATGTTTAATGAGCCTTCGGCCCATGGGCCCTCGGCGGGCAGCCCTTACTAGGCTGCAAGCCCAGACCCGAATTATTCCATTGTTCTCCCACTTTCCCGCCCAAAATTTCGGCCGCCCCAAAAATCTGCCCACCTCCCGCCCAACATTTTGGGCCGCCCAAAAACCGCCCACTTCCTCCGCCCATAATTTCGGCTCGCCCAAAAAAGCGCCAGGCCCTCTCTCCTCTCGGCTCATGGGTCAGTGAGTATCTACTCACACTTTAGCCTGTGAGCAGTTTAACTTTGTTAGGTTGCTTCACTGGGACAAAAGAATTAAGATCCATGATTTGCAGGAAAAAATCCTAAATACATATGTTTTTTAAAAATTTTCCAAAATACACACGTTATAATTTTTTTTTCTCCAAAATACACATGTTTGAGCATCACCGCGATTGACGGCCGCGGTGAATGTCTGACGTGACAGTATGGTTGTCATGCCGGTTTCATGACCAGCACAGGTTGAACCAGACCGCGATTGACGGCCGCGGTGAATGTCTGACGTGACAGTATGGTTGTCATGCCGGTGGCATGCCACCCGGTTGAACCTGGTTCAACCTGTGCTGGTCATGAAACCGACATGACACCAGCGGTATAACCGGTATGATCAACTTACGCATTTTAAGTAAAATGACATCATTTTAATGAATTTAATGAATAAAAAAATTAAAATATTATTCATTTTATGAATGTAATAGTTAAAAGTTGATGATATTTGTTGGATTGTAACTAAATTGTCCACAAATATGTTTTATATATGATTAAAAACATTGGATATTAATTGTTTTCACATTTTTTTAAACCGGCACAAACTGGTTATACCGCCGGTCGTACCATTCCACTTGTCGAACCGGCACAACGGTATAAACCGGTTTGACAACCTTGCGTGACACTGAAACTTCAAACAAACGTAACTTTGCGCTCGGTTATCAGATTGTAGCGAATTTGTTTTTTTGAGTCCACATAACTTTTCAAGATATTTCAATCTGAAATAAGAATTTTTTTTATTATTTCTGAGTGATATCAATAGATGACAAGAGTTATTCATACAAATCTACCCAGGACCCCTTACAATATATTCTAATGAAGCCACCCAAAAAAAAACAAAAGATTCTAGCTCTAGACGAGACAAAAGCAGTGCTTTACGTGCCACTCTAAACGAATCTGAAATAAGACTTCATCCCCAAAAAAAATCATTTGCTACCCCGAACGAGCAATTTTTCGATTTTGACAAACTTTGGAAGATCATAACTTTGTGCTCCACAATCCGAATGTCATGAAACTTTTTTCGATTTTGCATAACTTTTGAAGTACTATAACTTTGATTATAACTATAATTTTGGAAAGTATGTGGATTTGTGAAAAGTAAAGGCAAAGTTATTCCCAAAATCCCGTATACCCAAAAATACTTCTTTTTAAAAAAAATTATTTCCTAGTCAAAGTTGTAGTTCTTAAAAAGTTATGCGCAATAAAAAAAACTTTACGACGTTCGGATTGAGGAGCTAAAAGTTATGTCCTTTCAAAGTTTGGCAAAATCGAAAAATTGCTCGTTCGGGGTAACATACGACATTTTTTGAGATGAAGTCTTGTTGCAGATTGAAAGATCTTGAAAAGTTATATGGAATCAAAAAACATTTCGCTACAATTGGATAACTGAGCGCAAAGTTACGTTTGTTTCAAGTTTCAGTGTTAAGTCGGGCAGTCACCGCGGCCGTCAACCGCGGTGATGCATTCACCGCTTTGGTCTGCCGCGGTGAATGCATTCACTATAGTTGACAATAGAGACGATACCCAAACATGTGTATTTTGGGAAATTTTTTTATAACGAGTGTATTTTGGAATTTTTTTTAAAAAACATGTGTATTTTGGGATTTTTTTTCCTGATTTGCATTAATATTGATGGATAGGATATAGAATAACAAATCTCAGAATACACCAGTTATTAAAAAATTCTCAAAAGACAGTACTTATAAAATAATTTCTAAAGTACAGCAATTTGCTCACCACCGCTGTCGACAAAGACAGGGATAATAATCACCGTTTTAGATCAAAACACTTACAGTATTCAGAAAAAATAAAATGAAAAAAAAAACTTTTAATAGTATAATAATCATAACACCCATAGACACGAGATAACCATATCACACAACACAGTTAGTGAAAATGCTATTTTCTCACCAAGATATCATAGTGAACTCTTAAGAAATCACTATGACCTGCACACAGAAGTAAAACCGTGTAGGGGTATGCCCAAAGTAGAGAATATTTTGTTCACAAAAAGGGTTGAATTGTCATAAATTGTATCCGAGCTTCTTTACGTCCCTGTTAAACATTGGTGGGTAAATTTCAACCTGGACGTTGAGGCCTATAGTTCCGGAGGGTGAAATGTAAAACCTTGGGACAAATCCCGCATTGGCAACGCATGTGAGAGATCTTTGGTTCACAACAAACAATTCAATCTTAATTTACAAGATGCATTTTGGAGTGAAATAGATGAGTTCTTGTAACTTTAAAGTTAACGTGCTTGGTGTAGACTAGTGCAAGGAAGGGTAACCTGTTAGGAAGTCACTATTATATGAACCTAAAATTAGAATCGGGGTAGAGACAAAATAGACGGTATCTTGTTAAAAAAAAGGTTGGGTTGTTACAGTTTTCATCAAAATAAAATGGGGAAAAAATTATCTAATATTATTGAAAAAAACTATAACACCCATAGACACGAGATCACCATATCACCTAACACGTTATTGAAATATTTTCATACCTAGATATCATAGTGAAGTCTTAGGAAGTCACCATGATATGCACCCAAAATCAAAATCGTGTGGGTGTAAGCTCAAAGCAGATAATATCTTGGTCAGAAAAAATGTTGAGTTGTTATAAATGGTATTAGAGAATGTTGGTGGGGGAAGCTCTCAATGAGAACGTAGAGTCCAAGAGTCCCAAGGGGGGATGTAATGTAAACCTTGGCAAATCTCACATTGACAAAGTACGGAAGAGATCCATAGTTCATAAGGAACAACTCAACCTTAACTGACAAAACGTGTTTTGGGGTGAAATGGATGGGTTCTTGTAAGAACTCTAAACTAAAATGTGCTTAGTGGGAGTAGTGCAGGAAAAACTCTTGAAAAGTCACTATGATAGCAAAAGTAAAATTGTGGGGGGTAGACACAAAACGAATAATATCTTAGTAAAAAAAAGGTTAGTATGTTTTCAATATTCATCAAAATATAATGGAAAGAATCATCTAATTATAAAAAAAAACTATAATACCCATAGACACGAGATAACCATATCACCAAACACATTAGTGAAACGCTATTTTATAGTAGAGTTGTGATTTAATTGGTAGCGTGTCAATAAAAATATTTTTAAAATAATACTCATAACAACCAATCATCAACAACTCTTCTGATAAAGATTTAGGGTATGCCTATGGTGACATGCATGTCACCGTAACTGGCATTTTTTGTTCGACCTTATATAGGATCGGGTCGACCTGACCTGCACTTTTAGGTCGACCTTATATAGGATTAGATCGACCTAATATGCAATTTTGGGTCGACCTTATATAGGATTAGGTCGACCTAATATGTCATTTCAGTTTTGTGAGGTTCAACGACGCAGTTGACCTTTTATAGCAAATAGTCGACCTCTTGGGAAGCGCACGGATGGCATGTACGACTACATGGGCCAGATTTCCACCCAGATGACTGGCATGTACGACTACATGGGAAAAATGACCATCCAGATGAACACACTGCAGGTGTCCGTGAATGAGATGCGAGATGAGTTTCGATCTTTTAGTGGAAGATACATGCATGTCACCTTAAGTGTGTGTTTTTATTGTTAAGTGTTAAAAACGATTGTGGATTGATATGATGTGGTTTTAGATTTTAGTTATGTGTGAACAATTATGATTTGTGTTTTATTGTATTTCTTGTTAGTTTGTTTAGTTGTTATATTAGGAAGTTATGAGTCATTGTTATCATTATTTATGACTGATTATGTTGGTTTAAAACGTAATTTATACAAGCAAAAGAACCACCCACATCGCTTCCCAAAGAGGTCGACCATTTGCTATAAAAGGTCAACCGCGTCGTTGAACCGCACTAAACTGAAACGACATATTAGGTCGGCCTAATTCTATATAAGGTCGGCCTAAAAGTGCATATTAGGTCGACCTAATCCTATATAAGATCGACCTAAAAGTACAAGTTATGGTGACATTCATGTCACCATAATTTGTCCAAAGATTTAAGGTTTTGATTTTCAACATTTTAAAATTGAAGCAATAAAAGTGATTGTAGGAGGCTATTTAGGGAAGACAAAAAAAACAAAATTTTCTTTTTCAATTTTTAGTAATAACTAAAATATAAAACAGAATAGTAAATCAATGTTGCAGGCAATCAGAATGCTCCAACTAACATGCTCTCTCTTTCATTTTTATTCCCCATAAAAATTAAATGGATCAATCAGAATGCTCCACCTAACATGCTCTCTTTTTTATTTTTTATTCCCCATAAAAATTAAATGGATTGTATCTTCTTCGTCACAATTCAAATTTACATTTTTTTTGCACAATTGTTTTTTGATTTGATGACATTGTAACATCTTGAACCTAACGATGAAAAAACATCCCGAACCTTTTCCCGACTAAGATACGCCTGCTTTGGGTCGAGACCCTCATGGTTTTGGCTTGGGGTGCATATGAGTGTGACTTCCCATAAGATCACCCATAAGTTCTCCACAACGAGCACGTTTGATTCAGACTTAATTGTACACTTTTTATCCAAGTTTTCCTTATGCGTTTGAAGCATTTGCACTTTGAGAGGTTTTATTTTACGCTAGGTTTTGCCTTGTTTTAGCTTGTTTCGGACTCAAACAGGTGGACCCAGACCCAGAGTAGGAAGTTGAATGAAAAGACGCAAAATCGGATCAAAGGATGGAGATAGCCGCATATCATGATAGAAGCAGAGAGTTCACGATCAGAAGGGCCGTGAACTGAAGCCAGAGACCGTGAAGCGCCATGTCCAGAGCCATTTTTGGTCTCACTAAACTCAAGTAAGTTCACAGTCGTAAGACCGTGAACCCATGCCAGAGACCGTGAAAAGCCTAAATGACGAGAGAAACTTCTTCTTCAGATTTTAGAGTGAGAAAGTGAAAAACCAAAGAAGAGGAGAATCTAGGGTTTCATCTCCAAGCAAGGATTTGGGAATTCCTTCCCCAAAGGAGGATCTCTTCAACACAAGGAGCAAGGCTAGCATCTCCATGATGGTTTTCCTTCTTCTCCCTTGTGTTTTCCCTTCTCCTAGCATGGAGCAGTTCCTTATTTCACTTGGGTGTTTGTAAAACGTAGATACAATTATGTGAATGTTTGTACAGGTTTCATGATTTGTGTGTGGATGTGTTTAATATGAATTTGGAGGTATTTTCATGGAAGATTGTGTTGTGTGTTTTTCTATCAATCTACTTGCTCTATATTTAAACATACTTGTCCTATATTGCACCAAATTAAGGTTTATACTTGGGCCCTAATTGGGAGTTTTATTGTGATATTCAGGACGAGTCAAGTTTTTGGCGTTGTTGCTGGGGAGCAAACGATCCATTATTTTGAAAAGATTGTTTGGTGTTAATCTAGCTTTTACTTTTCGCTTTTGTGTGTGTGAATCTTGCTTGTGTTAGACGAGTTATGGTTCTTTTGAGTGTGTGCATGAAGGTGTATGACCAGGAGTAATCTGACACCTTTGGCACCACTGGACGAGAATCTCACCCGCACTCTCCGACTCTTTGCTCCTGAGAGGGAGCCAGCGGAAGCAGGAAGAAGGATAGAGGAGAGGGGACAACCACAAGTTGGTCCCGAAGTTGAAGAAGTTGTAGTTGAGGAAGAAGTTGAATATGAAGAGAAAGGAAGTGAAGCCGAGATGGCGGCTAATCAAGAAGCTCAAGCGAGAGCTGCCGAAGCAACCGAGGACCATGGGATACTATATGGCTCCACGGGCGATGTATATTCAACCTACTATCAGGCATCCACCCATGGCCGCCAACAATTTCGAGATCAAGCCCGCCCTTGTAACCATGATCCAAAACAATGTATTATTTCATGGGCTTAGCAATGAGTCTCCAAGGGAGCATGTCCAGAGGTTCATCGAGCTTGCGGGAAGTTTAAAGATAAATGGGGTTCCCGAGGACGCTTTGAAGTTGAGACTATTCCCCTACTCTCTTGCGGGGAATGCGTCTCGGTGGCTCAACAATAGACCGACCCTCTCGATCACCTCATGGGATGAAATGCTCAACAAGTTCATGACCCGATATTGTCCTCCTTCCAAGATGGCGGAGTGGCGCAAGAAGATCACTCATTTGAACAAGAGGAGGATGAGTTGTTGAGGGATGCATGTGAGAGATGCTCTGATTACTTCCTCCAATGCCCACACCATGGATGCGAGGAGAAATTTCGGATCAAGACCTTCTATGGCGGTCTCCTCCAAGATGACAAGATTCTCATTGACTCTTTATGTCAAGGGAAGTTTATGAACAAGACTCCACCCGAAGTGACCGAGTTGCTCGAGGACATGGCGACAAAAGGGTATGATTGGGGTTTGACGAGGAGTGGTAAGACGAGTATCGGAAGAGGAGTGCAAAGTGTAGGAACGAGTGCTCCACTTGAAGCCAAGCTTGACCGCTTAATTGATGCACTCCTGAAAGACAAGAAGCAAGGGAAGAAACCATTGACATCTTGAGATTGGTGTTCTAGTATCAATCATGAAATTTTGGATTGTCAAGTGATGAAGGAATCAAGCACCCCCGAGGAGCAAGTGAGTTTCATCGCCAATGATAGGGGAAACAACCCCTATAGCAACACTTACAACCCGAGGTGGCGAAATCCTCCCAATTTCTCTTGGTCCTCTCCTACCAACCAAAGACCCCTCGGTTTCAAAGGACCGATGGGAAATTACCAACCAAGGCCTCATTTCATTCAACAAAGGTCGCAATTCCAAGGCTCTAACTTCCAGCAACCATTCCAAGCTCAAGGCGGTCAAGGGTTCCAACAATAACCCGATAAGTTTGTAAAGCTTGAAGACCTAGTGACCACCTTTGTGAGCACAAGCACTCAAAAGTTTGAGAAGATTGAGCAATTTATGGATGTGACAACAACAAAGTTTACTTTGGTTGTGGCGGGATTGAGGAGCCATCAAGCAAGCCTTCAAAACTTGGAGGTGCAAATTGGTAATCTTGCAGGGATCCTCACCGAGAGACCAAGGGGAGCTCTACCTTCCCAAACCATCACCAACACCAAAGATCAAAATGCCGGTTGCAATGCTATTCTTTTGAGGAGTGGGAAGGTGACCCCAGAAGTTATTGCTAAGAAAGTGACTGAAGAAGAGAAGACTCCTCCAACGGCCAATGATCAAGAAGGCTCGGAGAGGGAGGAAGAAGAGTCTAAGAAGGCATTGCCGACGCCACCACAAGTGGCTGAGTATAAGCCTCCTATTCCTTTCCCCACGAGGATGCACAAGGACTGATTGGAGACGGAATGTGGTGGATTCATGGAGATGCTTAAGAAGCTCTGCATCACTATTCTGTTCTTGGAAGAAATGGTGCACATGCCGAGGTATGCCAAATGACTCAAAGGGCTTCTCGCCAAGAAGCCAAAATATGAAGACCTCGCCAATGTCACCTTTGGAGAGGAGTGCTCCGCCTTCATCCTCAACAAGTTTCCTAAAAAGCAACCGGATCCAGGTAGTTTTACTATACCTCTTTGCATTGGACCTCATCATATAGAAAACTCCTTGGCGGACTTAGGAGCAAGCATTAATGTGATGCCTTACAAGCTTTTTAGAAAGTTACATTTGGGTGAATTACAAACTACTAGGCTTAGTGTTACATTGGCCGATCGCTCTGTCATTAGCCCTAGAGGTATTTTGGAGTACTTCCTAGTGAGAGTTGGAAAATTCTACTATCCGACAAATTTTGTTATCCTTGATATCAGTGAAGATTCGGATATTCCAGTCATCCTAGGGTGCCCCTTCTTGCCACCGTCAAGGCCTAAATTGATGTTAACGAGGGAACTCTTATTTTGAGAGATGTAGAGGAGCAACTTACTCTTTCAATTGATCCTAAGGCTAAGAATGATTATGTGAAGGAAATGGACTCGAGTGGTGTGGTTGGAAGTGGAGGTGAGCCTCTCAAGGCGAACCCCACTATTTCTCTTGTTCCTTGTGGTGACATGAAATAGAAAATTGAGGAGCGTATCAACCCCGAAGGAAAAAAAAAGGATCATGGAGAGGAAAGGTGAAACTCACTTATGTCCTCAAGAAGGATAAGGGCAAAGCGAAGGTAATTAGCCAAGAGGGCCATCCTATATAGCTTAAGTTGAGAGGTGACAAAACTCTCTCTGAGACTGTGGCGCATCCACGTCTAGCTAGTGACGTTAAACTATCGCTTGTTGGGAGACAACCCAACGTCGGTTTGTTTTATTTTCCTTATCTTCTCTTTTTGTGATTGAGTAAGGAGTTCAAGTGGATGATTGGTTATCACTATGCCAACATGTTGAGTCTGTTTGATTGGGGTTTGAGTGTGTTTGAATTATGGGCATGATTGATTAGGTCGAGTTTTGAAAATTTTGAAAATGCCCCATTTTTACTCAGTTCACGATTTTTTAGCCTCATTATCACAATCTTAGCCACCGTGATAATAGGGTGCAGACCGTGAATGAGGTAAGTTCTAGAAAAATTTGAAACACATCATTTTGGACTGAGATCACGGTCTGGGAGTTACGTTCACAGTCTTATCAACCTTGAATGGAAGCCTCCGTCCGTGAACCCCGCGCTCGGGCTATATAAGGGCGTGAACCCTTCTTCTTCACTTCATGCAAGCCTCCTTGGCCTGTTTTTTTCTGGGATTTTCGACACCCTCGCTTCCTCCTTACCTTCCTCTTCAACCCTACTTGCGTCTCTAGGTCTGTTTCAAGCCTTTACTTTGTCATTTTTGGAGAATTGGGTTAGAGTTCTTAAGTGAGGAGAATCGTTTTAATCTTACTTGAATTATTGGAATTAGGTGAGGGGTTGGTCGAATAGGTTAGTTTGAATAATGTATGATGTGCATGTGGACTTCATTGAGCTTTGGTGGGCTCATTTTGCATGAATTACAGTTAATTGAGAAAATCGCCCACCAAGAGCATTGTGTTTGAATGTTGAGTTGAATCCAATTTTGTGAATGGTAGTTGGTGGCCATCGATGCATGGTTTGGGCTTGATGTTGATATTTTGATGAATTATGAATCAACTAGAACCATGTCTCCATGAGCTTTTAACGTGGTTGAACTTAAATTGTTGAAATCTGATCTTGTGAAAAGCTTTCAAAGGCATAGGACCTTAGTGGAGTTCTAAGTGTGGGGGAATTCTTTCCTCCCCAATGAATTGAGATTGATGAATGTTTCCATGTATGTGTATGCTTTTGATGTTTTGAAGGATGGTTGATGCAAGTCACCGGTACGTTCACTACTTGGTGAACCACGAGAAGTATGGCTCAATGTTTGAGCAGTGGAGGTACAGTGAGGCAGAACCTCACTAGGTGTTGGACCTGGACATGTTCAACATGTTCAAGTGTCGGGAAGCAATGTCGGGGATTGTCGTTCATCCCCAGTGGCAACGCCTCCTAGCTATTGGCGAGATCATCTACTGTGAGCTCTGCGTGGAGTTCTACTCCACCTTCTCTCATGTGATCTCGACCAGCAAGTGGAACCGTCCGTACCTGGCGTTCTTGTTGGGAGGTCAGCAACACATGTTGACTTATGATGGCTTCTCCCAGGTCATGGGGCTCGACCCCACGCACATGACCATGACGGAGAGGCAGTACACAACTGACTTCCGCTACAACCAGGCCTTCCACGCCATCTGCCTCCAACAGCATCAGAATGACGAGTTCAAGGGCTCAAACACCAATGTAGTGAAGCTCCGAACTCCTTGGAGGATCCTGCATAAACTGTTGACGAGGTCGATCATCCCCAGCCTGCGATCAGGGCACATGATCACAAACAGGGGGTTGATAGCCCTCCATACCATGAGCCGCCCAATAGAGCCACTCCATCTGGGATCACTGGTGGCTACCATGTTCGCCAAATGCCTGGGGTGTGATTGAGTGGATACGATGCATTTGGGGGCATCATCACTAGGCTGGCCCGACACTTTGAGGATGATTTGAAGGAGTGGTCCATTATCGGCTGGACCGCGCCATTCCCCATGGAGACACTGTACAACATGAAACTGGTGCTCAAGGGAGAGCGAGGGATTGAGTACCTTGAGGGACTTCGACCATCGGCCGCTCTATTGCCACAGATTGACCCTGCTCTAGTGGAGGCTGATCCAGAGGTCCCTCCTTCCGAGCAGCCAACTACCCAAACTCCGGGCCACTGCCATGGTGCCGCACCACCACCACTATCAGCAACATCTTCATCCGGGGCTGGTCGTTCTTCATCCGGAGTCCACCTCGAGCAATATGTGGATCGCCTCGAGGAGCAGTTTGTCGGAGTCAACACCCGGCTCGATCGATCCACCAACTTGTTGGAGCGGATTGCTCAAAGTCAGGGTGTCCTTTTGGTACAGAGAGGTAGCCGAGAGAGGTAGCTGACAAGTGAGACATGTGGCAGAGCCGATTACTATCTCCCCACTTCTTCACTTGAAACTCTGCACTCTGTTTTTTTCTTTTCTTTAGTGTGTAAACTAGTACATTTGTGAGCCTTTCTTTCCTTTTATTGTGATGTGGAATATTGTTATTTGTAACAAGCTCGCCTCGAGCGAGAATGTGCGTGTGTTTGTACTTTTCTTTGTCTTCTCTTTGAAGCTCAAACCTCCTACCCCAGGAAGTTGTCCAACTTTCACTCACCAAGCCATGCGGTGACATCGCTCTACCCCATATTTTACGCCATTGAGGGCAATGTCGAGTTTAAGTGTGAGGTGGGGGGGGGGGTAGTTTATTATTATGCTTGTGTGTGTGATTGAATGCTTGGAGCCTTGATGTATGCCCAAAATTGTAAAATTAGAGGGCTCCAAGCAATGCATGATCGAAGTGGTCGGTTTGTGGGTGAATCTCGTGTTTATTTGGCATTGACCTTGAATTGTTTCATGTGATTGAGTTCATCCTATTATGATGCCTGAGAATTGCATTAGGTGTGTGCAAAAGCTTAGTTCTCATGTGTGCTTAAATGAATGGATGGCTTGACTTGGTTACTCTTTGATCATAATTGCCTTGCATAGAATTTTGTGAAATTGCAATAGACGATCGGGTGGCTAGGTAGCCATGTGAGATTTGTGTCAATCGTCTTTTTCATGTGTGATAAATCCCTCTCGCCATGGTGTTTAACATTCACCGTTGTCACTAGTGAGTATGATAGAGGCATAAGATTAGTCCACGCTCAAAAGTTGATTGTCCCAAAACATCTTATTCTCTAGTCAACCCCTTTGAGCCATGTGACTTTGGGGGTCATTCTAATATTAGGAGCTTCGTGCTTGTTGAGCTTAACGGTGATTGTTAGAACGACCCCTCATGCTTTCTTCGTGTCTAAACCGTTGTGAGTCATCTTTGTGTCCCGGAACTCTCACTCTTGAGCTCCATTGAGGTTTTACATAGGAGGATTTTGCGTGGTTCTTGCTAGGAATGAAGAAGTAGTGTTGGAGGAAGTTCTTAATAGAGAGCATTGTTCGTTAAGTGTTAAGTTGGAAAATGTTTAACTCTCTAGTACCCCCTCAAAAAAAAAAGGAAAGTAGAAAGAAAAAATAATCGAAAAAGACGTAATAAAACGAGGTAAATAAAAGTAGAGAGTTGCCACAAAAGTCTAAGTGTATGCTCTAGAAAGGGTTTCTTGGCACTCTAGCCATTGAAACACCTAAATTGTTTGTTGACCTCCTTCACTACTATAATTGAATTGTGTATAGCAAGATAGGTCGAGGAAGTGTGCTTGAATGTAGTTCGTGATTGGTAGTGGTCTGGAAGAAGGAAAGTGTGGTTTTTTGCCAATGCTAGTGGTCGTTGAGTGTAGAGAAGGTTCGTAGTCGAAGCCATAGAACCTTCGATTTCAGGGTCAAGATGTAGGACCTCATGCTATGTTTGCCACCACCCAAAAATACATTTTCCTCATGTCCAAGATAATATCCAGTCATTTGAACCCCGTGTCTAAGACCTCCAGACAAGCTAGTGATGACAACCATCCCGTGAACTCTAGCATTTAGAGGTTCCTGTCGTGGTGGAGAGATGATAGGGCTGGGTGTTGATGGTTGTGCACATCTTTTCACCAAATGGTCCTGACCCCACTGATCGAGAGTGAGTGATCATTCATGTTTTGCATATTCATATCTTACACCGGTGAGGACCTATGTTGCCCTTTCGTTTGTGCCTTGGACTTGAAATCTATGCACGGTTAGTTGTGGTTGGTGAGTGGTTTTTTCAAGACTTGTTTGGGTTTGAGAACAGGGTAAGAACTTTTCATTAGCACATTCTTGATGCATTCGAATGTCGTTTGCGGTGGATGTCGGTATTGTTTGTAGCGGTTCATGTGTTGATGTCCACTAGCCATTCAGATTCACCACTTCGTGCCCTTTGATTTGTCTCCAAGTTATCTTGTTAGTTTGAGATATTACCTTGGTTGAAAATGGTTTTCTTGGTGACAAGAAAACGTCTAAGTGTCGGGGAGTGATTCGGGCTTAATTGTATACTTTTTATCCCCATTTTCCTTAGCGTTTGAGGCATTTGCACTCCGAGAGGTTTGGTTTTATGCTAGGTTTTGCCTTAGCGTGTTTCAGACTCAAGCAGGTGGAACTAGCCCCGGAGTCGGAAGTTTGACGAAAAGACGCAAAATTGGATCAAAGGATGGAGGCAGCCGCAGATCACGGCAGAAGTAGAGAGTTCAAGGTCTGGAGGACTGTGAAATAAAGCCAGAGACCGTGAAGCACCAGGCATCCATAGGCATTTTCGGTCTCACTAGACTCAAGTCAGTTCACGGTCGTAAGACTGTGAACCCAAGCTAGAGACCGTGAAGAGCCTAAATGATGCAATGCGTTTTTGCTCCAGATCGCGGTCCCTTCCAGATGTTCACGGCCGTGAACTGGGACCTTGACTCGAGCTTGACCTGGGTATAAAAGAGGCTTGAGCTGAAGGAAGAAAGGGGGAGAGACCTAGTATGAGAAACTTCTTCTTCTTCAAATTTCTAGAGTGAGAAAGTGACGAACCAAATAATAGAAGAAGTTAGGATTTCATCTTCAAGCAAGGTTTTGGGAATTCCTTCCCCAAAGGAGGATCTCTTAAACACAAGCTAGGAGCAAGGCTAGCATCTCCATGATGGTTTTCCTTCTTCTCCCTTTTGTTTTACCTTCTCCTAGTATAGAGTAGTCCCTTATTTCACTTGGGTGTTTGTAAACTATAGCTACAATTATGTGAATGTTTGTATGGGTTGAATGATTTGTGTGTGGATTTGTTTTAATATGAATTTGGAGGTATTTTCATGGAAGATTGTGTTGTGTGTTTGCCTGTCAATCTATTTTGTCATTCTAACCTAGGTAGAGAGAAAACCCCCTTTCTTTGAAAGAGGCTTGTAAAGCTGGATTTTTCTTAGGCAAATCTTGTCTCCTATCTAGGTTAATGTAGGGCAACCCTCTCTGTACGTATTATCACCTAGGGTTGGTTGTAATTTGGCAGCCCGAACTCCGATTTGAGGGTGAAGTTTTGGCAACCTTAGTCAATCGGTCAAGAGAGCTACTTTGGTAGCTTGAATCTAATTTCCTTGACCTATTGACCGAGAGAGTGGCGTCCGTTCACTTGTTGCACTTCCCTACGATTTACAACCGCCTTACCACACGTTTTCATTCGATCCGACAAGTCATAATTGCTAGCTAAGGGGAGCAACACCCGGGTGAAACCTTCTCAATTAGTGTCAAATCCATTTACTTGTCCAAATGTTTTAACCATAGATAGTTGTTTTCACCAAAAACCAATCGCTAGATAATGTTTCAAACAATCGAAGTAGGGTTACATTGGCCTACCAGGGTTTGATATTTACATACTTGCCTATATTGCATCCAATTAGGGTTTATACTTGGTCCCTAATTGGGATTTTTATTATGATATTCGGGACGAGTCAACATTTAACTTCAGAGTTCTCATAAGAACTCCTTCATCTCACCCAAAAACGCGTCTTGTTAGTTAAGGTCGGTTTTTTACTTATGAACCATGGATCTCTTTTGTGCTTTGTTGATGTATGATTCTCCTAAGGTGTTACATAACCCCCCCTCCCTCCAATTGGGACTCAATATCCTCATTGAGGTTTGCGCCCCCATCGTGGCACGCACATATGTTCTGATACCATTTGTAACATCACAAACCTTTTCCCGACTAAGATATTGTCTACCTTGGGCCCATACCCGCACGATTTTTGCGTGGAAAACATATCGAGGTGACTTCACATAAGTTCACTCATCCTTGCAGTATTCCACTACGAGCACGTTTAATTCGGAGTTCTCACAAGAACTCCTCCATTTTACCCCAAAACTCGTCATGTCAGTTAAGGTAGGTTTCTTACTTATGAACCATGGATCTCTCTCTTGCTTTGTCTATGCGGGATTCGCCTAAGGTGTTATAGAGATCTACAAAAAATATGCATTTTGTATGTGTGTGAAATAAAAAACATTCACAAAATCATAAAGGTACTCACATGTGATATATAATCATAGCTCTATTGCATATCTTCACACTGTGAATTTTCCTTTCCTTGACATCTTTAGTTAATAGAGTTGAAAATCCTCCAAGCATAGTAGAACAGATAAAGGGAGAGGGGGTGTCAATGATGAATTGAAACTTTTATCTAGGGGTGTCCTCTTCACTAAATTAAATTAAATATTAAATAAAAATTCAAACTATTACAAGTTATAACGAAACACCACGTCGTGTTTCACATTTGGAAAAAATTGTAAAACATTACCTATCTATAGTGCTCAACAAATCTTTTTCAATATATTCTATAGACAATCATTCATGAACGAATTGTATATCCAATTTATAACCTTGTTCTTGACGCAATCCAAAGAAACTCTTTCAACATGAATGGTTGAAGAACATGGAGAGAAGATGAGTCGACTCTCTTTTTTACTTCCTTCATCAAGTATCGAAGGATAGGGACCGCTAGATTGAAATTTAGCTTTCAGGTTTTTGGAAGAAAAATTGGAGAAACTGGGTACAATTGGACTATTGTTTTAGACTATTATTATATTCTTGTTTGAAATAAAACAATAAATGAGTTTCACTCTAATTGAAAACATATTCACTAATAATTGTAGTGTCATAGTTCGAATTACAAAGATTACCATTTTTTCCTCTTCCCCTCAAACTACTATCGTCGATGAATAATTTTTCTCCAAATTTTAAGAGTGGCCTAGGACACCTCTCATCGACCATGGGTCCTCCCCTGGGGGTCTCTTTGTCTTAGGTCGAGAGTATGATAGAATACCTTGGACTTATGCTCGTTAACAATGGTAGATTGCAATATTGACTTGATGCATATCATGATTAACCAAATCCAGGTTTCATGAAATTCGAGCTTCTTCATCGCCTTTTTCAAGAAAGACTATTCCACACAGTCATACGCTTTGGCCATATCAAACTTCACAAACATATAACCCTTCTTTGTTTCTTCTTCATGTAATGGAATTATTCAAAAGACGATACAACATTATCATGAATAAATCATCATGGGACATAAACACTCTATGTCTTCGAGATGAGGTTGTCCAAATTTCTTAAACATATTGGCGAGAATTTTAGAAATTGCCTTGTAAATAACTTGACATAGGATGATTGGTTAAAAGTCACTCAGGGAGGAGGGGTCCCCAAAAAACCTCCTTTATGTGAGAGCTTCTCTCCCCATGTTCTTGGGTGGTGTTTCATCTTCCTCCCTTTCATGGAGGTTACTTGGATCTTTTGATCCATTTTCTTCCCTCTTCTCTTTCTTTATGACCTCTTTTTCATGGGCATCTTTCACCTGTGGTGTTTGTTCACATTCGTTAATCACTTTGCTGGAGAGTTTTTTGGCAGCTTAATCCTTGTGTCTTTTCATATCCTCCCCTTCCCTTCGCCTCATCTCGTTTTTCTCTTCCCTCACCCTTGTTCCTCCTCTCATACATGTCCCCCTGCCAACATGAGAATCATCAGTTTAGTCTGTAGAGACTTGGTCAGTCCTTAAGCAGTCTCATTTTACATGATATTGTTCTCGAACATAAACCATACATGATTTTGCTTTTGAAAAAAAAAACTCTCAAAATTAGAATGGGAACAATTACACGACAAATGGGTTTAAAAAATAGTGATAGCTTCCCTCCAAATAATATAGTGGGTGGCATTTGCTTATTATAAAATGAAGAGGTTGGTCTCTCAGTATGATCTAGCTCTTTCAACCATTTGGATGGAGATGTTTCACTCTCTAATTGTGACCCGCCATGAATTCTCATATTAAAGAATGAAACTTGTATATGACATATTTCAACCAAATCCTATCATGGGCTAAAAAGACAAGGGGTAATCTGATGGAAGAAAATATGTCTCTGGACTTTTGGAAAGTTCTAGATGAGTGTATAATATGCTTGAGTGTGGTTTCAAAAGTTATTCCTTTACTTGAGATAATAGCAGAAAAATGAGAAATTTATTGAACAAATATTGATAGATTTGTTGCTCAATTTGAATGCCAACCTCTCATGTCCCTCGCTTGGATAGGTGTGGATCTTATCACTACTGTCCACTTTAATGGATACAATATAACATACAAAGATCCAAATGAGATAAATGGAGGTGGAGCTTTGGAATGTAATCCTACTAGTTGAAGGACCCTAAATGCAACAAAATAGTAGTCAAGGTAAGAAGCATAGCAAATTTTAGGAATGTTAGTAAAAGGTTGGGGATCGTAAACAAAAAAAAAACTCAGGAAAATCAAGTTTCAACCCAAGACTGCAAAAATTATTGACCAAAGAAGAAGATCAAAAGTTGAAAAATCTTATACAAGAATGATCTCAAATGGAAGCATAGATTTAGAGTTGATTGGCTAAGAGCAGGAGAGAAGAACACAAAATCCTTTTATGCTAACGCTTTGGCCTGACGAATAAAAATTATTATGATAAAGTTGAAGGATGAACTGAATAGAATATCATAAGGGCAGGAGGAAGTCATGGAATGTGTTAACGAACGCCACAACTTTTTGCTCAAAGAGACCATCACAATTGTAATGTGGTTATTAAAGCAATTGAACTGAAAATTATAGAGGAAAATGATCACATTTTATCAGCCCCTTCAAAAAAAGTTATTAATGTTTCGAAACATATAGGACCCCATAAGGCCACGGGATCCGATAGATTTTCTGCCAAATTTTACAAAAAAAGAAAGATTAAACTCATTTGGGATGGATCTTTTATGAGGAAGTTTTGGAGAGTGGGTTGTCATCGTTACTCGACTTGAGAGTTTGTTTAACAACAATTTTCAGCCATTTGTCTCGCTTTTCTTTAGCATTTATTTGTTTATTAAAAATATTATACCTTTCTGTTTTTAGTACAAAAAAATTATATTTTCCTGTCACCACCCAATTACATCCAAAGCTTCGATTTTTTTCTTTTTTTATGAGTAATTACAAAAACTGCTACAATTTATTTTTTTAGAATTAATGTAACAAACCAAATTTTAAAGGAAAAAAAAAAGGAAACTAACTACGTTAAAAAAAAGTAAACAGCAGCCACAGCCAGGACGAACGATCGAATAGATTAATAGACATAGATATAGTCATCCCCTTCCCATTGTATTCAGCCACTGATGTTCGCTCTCCCTCTCTCTCGCTCCTCCGTTCTGCTTCTAAAAATATATAAAACTCTTTCCTTCCCTTCCCTTCCTCACATTCATTCTCCCTCGTCTTCCTCTAATTAATTCTTCCCTCTATTTCTCTCCGAGCCTTCCATTTCCCTACATTTCCTCTTTTCGTTTAGATTCACACGAGAGGGAGAATTATATGCAAAGATTACGTGCAAGGCAACAACCACTAGCATCGGGAGAAGAAGAACTAGAACAGGAAAAATGGCATCTAATATGGGGATGATGGACTGCGCATACTTTGTCGGCAGGAATGAGATATTGACTTGGATCAACAATTGTCTTCAACTCAATCTCTCTCGCATTGAAGAGGTCCTCTATCGTTTCCTCCTTCTCCTTCTCCTGTTTACGGCGTTGTTGGCGAGAATGGGAAAGGACCTATTCTTCTTTCGCTGCTTTTGACTTTTGTGACTTAGCTTCCATTTACAGGGAATTAGGTTTCTGTGCTTCCAGCTGATGCTCGTTATTAGAACTATACTATGTTCTTTCTTTAATGGCGTAATAATTATTGTTTTATGAAATTTGGCCTCTGGTTCTATTTCGTCTAATTGGGGATTAAATTTTGATGACTGGAGATTTAAGGTGTTTATTGATCAAATCAACCCTTTGTGTCTTTTTTTCCTTGAGGATTTTGATACGAAGTTCTTCGTTTGATGAAGGAGCATTTGGATGATGATGTAGACTGTTCATCTTGTTTATGATGTTGGCTTTCTATCCTTGGTTTCATTGATGGTTTCTTTCATATATGGTGCAGGTTGCGTCTGGTGCTGTTCAATGTCAGATGATGGATTTGACTCATCCAGGAGTTGTGCCAATGCATAAGGTGGTGACAAGACTATGCTTCTCTCATCTTTCGGTCATTTAATGCCCATACTTTACCAATTTGAGAATTGCAATTCTATAGAAACTTCACTTTGTGATGATAGTTTTGGTCTATTGTAGGTGAATTTTGATGCCAAGTCTGAATATGACTATATCCAGAACTACAAAGTGCTACAGGATGTATTCAACAAGTCAAAAATCGAAAAGGTATCACTTTGTAATTTCTAGCTTTTTCTTTCTGAGTACTTTCATCGTGGTCGCCCTTCTTCGAGTTTTGTTATATTATGGCTTGAGCTCATGATTAGTTGGCGGGATCAACTTTAGGCCTATGGAGCTACGTGGTTTTACAACTTAACTTTGTTGGTTTTAACACTAGGATTCCAGAACCAATAACGATTACTGTTTTGGGGAGGGTATATCATATCATGTTACCAATTAGTGTGTGGCCGCAAAATGAAGTGATTGAATGGCGGAAAAGAGAGAAAATTATCAGAGATCTTGTGGCAGCTAGCAAATTCATGTCATATCAACTCGTAGGATATGGTTGCTTCAGCAGTTGCAATCAGGTTAACCTGGAAAAAGTCTTCTGACTGGTATCCCTGCCTTCTTTCGCTTGCATGGCAGCATATCGAAGTGAACAAGCTTGTTAAGGCAAGGCCATTGGACAATTTGGATTGAAAGGAGATGCAAGGGCGGAAAAGAGCGAGTTAGGGGCTCTATAAAGGCTTCAAAATCATTGCAATCAAATAATTCCCATCATCATTCTGCCACAGTTGACTCAGGTGGAATGCATAAAATCTCATTCAGCATGCACCACCAAACTAGCTTACATTCCTATTTCCAGTATTTTTTGTTCACATGGAGACAATATTACTTCATTGCAGGACCAAAGCCAAGTAGGGGAAGTACTGGGTCAATAGGGGGCCATAATTCATCAGTAGATATCCAGGCGTTGTCGAATGAGGTATAACTCACCCTCTTCTTATTCCCTTGAACTAATTAAGAGTATTTCATGCTCGACTCCCTTGCATTTAGATTCTTGTTTTGTACTCTGTCCATTTCTTGTGTGCAGATTACAGGTTTGAAGTTGTTGGTGGACCTACTGGAGAAAGAGAGAGACTTTTACTTTGCGAAGCTACGAGATATAGAGATACTTTATCAGATCCAAGAGCTGCAAGAGCTTCCTGTAAGGGAGAAGCCTATATCCAAATAAACCAACGAGGAATACGATGTGTTGTCTCTTTGACCAAATGCACGTTATTTGTTTATGAATATATATAGGTGGCAGTTGCTATCAAGAAGATACTATATGCAGCCGATGCCAAGGAGCCCGCACTCGAGGAAGCTCAAGAGTATCTGGCAGAAGCATTGAACGCTAATGAAGAAGAAGGAGAGGAAGCCTGAGCTCTGGGGAGATACTGAGCTAGCATAGGTGCTTAAAGGGAAGTCTATTCCACCACCTCTCCAAACCAAGAAAGCGCCAACAAGGACCTTTAAACTCGCTATCGAGGGGCGCTTGTTGATCATATGTTGGAGAAGAAACTAGTAAAGAGGTTGTGCTCCTGTCATGGTCAATGATCAAGTATCCTTGATATGATGTGGAAGATACCAATCTTCTTTGAGTTTTTTAATATACCAGTTGACCAGCTTGTACATCGGATGTGTGTATTGTATTGTTGAAAGAGGTTGTATGTGATGGAGCCTGTAAGTTTTTTTGGGTAGGAAAACAGAAAATATTTGCAATTTTAGGGTCATCCTTAATCGTAACACTGGTCTCAGTTAAGCCACAGATGGAGTGTTGGGCTTTGGTTTAAACTAAATAAATGCTTATCTTTCTATTTGGTATTTTCTAGTGGGTGTCCTTGATGTGATGGGTTGATTTGTTTGGGCCGCAAAGGGTGTTCGTTTTTTCTTGCATCTCATAACTTAACTTGGTCCAAGGAAGTTTGAGATTATCATGAACTGATTCTCACTACTACTCTGCTCCAATTAACATTCATCAATAATTCCTTTGTGTGTCATTGTTAATACGTTGGTATCTGGTTGTTAACCGACTCCTTAAGAAGACTGTGCTAGTAGTTGGCATGATCATTTACCCTAAATAAAAGGCCTTCCTATGATTTTTGAGAGACAAGCGGTTGTTTAAAGTCGTGTCTGGTTTTGGCTTAACATTGATGGATGATCGTTCATCCTAGATGCTCTTTCTCCATTTCCCTACTCATGAACGAAGATGGTGATTTATGGAAGGGAGGCAGGGGCGGACCCAGGGAGGTTTAGGGGTGTCCCCGGACACCCCTAAATTTATGGAAAACGATTATCCAACTCCCGGTGGTAATTTACGTATGGATAAAAAATATAATTGATAGTGAGGGACACCCCTTAAATTTGAAAATTTGATTATCCTACTGTCATTTGTGTATAGGAATATAAGTGGTATGTTGGATAATTTAAATCCTGAACACTATTATTATTAATAAACTTAATTTCCGTAGAGCTAAACTCATTTGTTGTTCGATTTTGAACAATGTGTAATAATAAAATGGCATTCCCTATCTCTAATTATTTTAAAAACCTAACAATTAAACTAATTTCAAACTACCCTTAATTTGTATTGATTTTATGATTGTACGGCAAATGTTGAAAGAGTCTTTCAGCTTTGGGTTACATCAAGAACAAGTTTACAAATAGAATATGCGATAAGTTCGTGAATGATTGTCTAGTAGTGTATATAGAGACAAAAAATTTTAAACACTATAGACACCAAGTGTATTCTACAATTAGTTCCGAATATGAAAACACATCATGGACTTTTTTAACCTGTACGAGTAAGGTATATTCATATTTACAATTTTATTTTTATTAATTAATTATTTTTATTTAATTTATTTTTTAAAAGAGGACACCCCTATAAAAAATTTCTGGGTCCGCCACTGAAGGGAGGTCCTTGAAGCAATTTACTTTCAGGAATAATTACTGCTTCTATTGATGATCATGTTGTCATTGTTGCCTGATGGTACAGAAACAAGATGATGGTAGTGGCATGTCTGACAACTGAACCGATTTATACATCATCTTTATGAACTTGCAGTGCTCAATGACTTCAGTTGGGCCAATCTAAATAGGCCCATAAGTTAAACCAAGTTACTAGAAGGCGACCAGTACAATTGGGCTGGCTTTAAACCAACCAACAAGCCCAACAGTGAAAACATGCTCATTTGATACGCGTGAGCTTGAAAGTAAGGCCCAAACTCTCCTAACAGGTTTCATGATACGTAGACGCATAACGATAGATTCCCTATAGTCCAGAAGAGTACAGTAATTATGCCATGCCTCTGGGTGTGTGACGCTCTAGGTGTTGGTCGAGGCGCATGGCCATTTAATGTACGAAGCATTAAATGCGGGTGCTGATGTGGGGCGAAAAGAAAGGCGGTTTGTTAGAATTGCCTCAAATATAAATAGGAGAAGACAACCGCATTTAAAAGAAATAGACTCTCTCAGTAAAACATGGAGTTTGCACTTCTCTTTCTAGAAAACACTCTCTTGACTTGATTGTTGAGAGAAAGCGGGCACCTATGGCCCGATGCTACTTGCATAGGTGATGCCTAAACGAGTCTGAGGATCAGAGGCGCAAAGGTGGTAACGTGATTGGCGTGCTAGGGGACATGGGAATGGTTATCACAATACAAGTATTTTTTTACACTTGTACAAGTTGCCCCTTTGCCTCATACCCAAGTTCTTCAACAGTGAGAGCTTGTTTTCAGAGAGGAAGTAAATAGTACTTTGAGATAATCAATAGCTGAATCCAGTTGGCCCTCTCCTTGACCAATTATTTATCAATCCTTGTTCTGCTTGTCACTATTCAAAAAATGGTGTTTTAACTGAAACTCTAATTTTCCGCCTTACCTTTCTAATAAGGGTAATACCTTAAATGAGATCGAACTATATCCATATAATCAACTTTGCTCCGTGGTTTGAGTTTGTTATTCTAGCCTCAACTATACCCCATATATACTAGTTTGGACGAACGCGTGTTTTGACCGTCAATTTGGACGGTCACAACTGTTGACTAACGATCAACGATCCAGCTCACTGCCACGTCAGCACCGAATAAATAAAAAATTCTAATTTAAATTATTTTTCATATCTCATGTTTATAATAATAAAATAACAACCAAAAATTTTAAAATTAAAATTATTCTTCATGTCCTTGTTATAATTTTGAAAACATGAGATATGAAAAATAATTTTAAATTAGATATTATTTTTATTTGGCACTGACGTGATAGTGAGCTGGATCGTTGACCGTTAGTCAACGGTTTTGACCGTCCAAATTGACGGTCAAAATATGCATTCGCCCAAACCAGTCTATATGGTGTATAGCCTATGTTTGGCCCGGCTTTTAGAAGTGCTTTTCGGCTTCAAAAGTTGAACCAGAGCCAAACATCTCTAAAAGCTCGGCTTTTAAATAGCTGAAAAGTGTTTTTGTATAACAGAAAAGCAGAAGCTACAAAGCTCCGATTTGAAAGTACAAGATTATCCTTACCGTATTTTAGTTTCATTTCAGAAAATATAATTTTCTTTCATTTATATCATTTTAAAAATAAAATAAATTATAAAAAAATCAACAAGATCCATTTTGACTACTTTATATTGTTAGAATTTTTATTTTTTATTATAAATCCTTTATAGTCATTTACATACCCTCTTATATTAAAAAACATTTCTAATAGTTTTGCACTCAAATACTCAACTGTTTTTTTAGAGTACTTCTCTAAAAACTCTAGTAAGAAGTCGTTTTTGCAAAAACTACAGTAGGACCAAACTATCCCATAGTTGAGAGCAGGATAGCAATTACGCTAACCACGGGCTAAAATTAATTATTTAGTTATAGTTCAGACCAATTTAAGATATTAACCCTTCTAATAATAATACTAGCAATATCACAAACAACGTGTTTCTAACATAGGGACTGTTAGCCATGGAGTGGAAATCCTTAAAACAATGATGTCCAATTCTACCATGCAATTGAGATGGTAGTTTCTTCATTTTATTTAGGGCTGCAAATGAGCAAAGCTGAGTCGAGTTTTACCCCAGTTTGAGTTTGACTCGTTAACAAATGAGTTGAGCTCGAGCTCGAGCCATTTATTAACAAGCCGAACCGAGCAGAGTTCGAGTTAGACTTATTTACTAAATTCTTGGATCGTCCTCCAAATAATATTGGAGATTCTATTTCAGCACCCACACCAATCAAATTTTCTGTCCAATGCGCATAGTACGGAAGGGTTGTTTAGTCTTTTAGGTTAGGTTTTTTTTCCATGTGTTTTGCAGCAGGTTTATTTCATTTGGGCTCCCAAGTCTTTCAATTTTTTCGTCCTTTAATTGTTCATGATGTTATTATGTATTATTATAAGTAGCTGGGTCAATTTGTATTAGGGTAGGTAATCTAGATTATTGTTGGTTTACAATCAGATTATTATATCTATAATTCTAAGTAACCCGTCTCTTATTACTTTTCAAGGTATTATATCTCATTTATTTAACACCGATTACATAGTTTTTAAATAAAATTCAATTATTTATTTATGTAGTTTAAAATAGAAAACTTATATTAGTGTCATGTACCATGATATCCGTTCTACAAGCATTCCTAGTAAAAGAATTTGTCAAAACTTTCATATCTCAATTTATTGTGGTTCATATTTGAGCTATGCATACCTGAATTTGAATTGCAAATTCCTCTAAAAAATGAATTTCTTGATATATCCAAATATCGTCTGACTACCTGAGACTGTGAATCAAGTTGTCTCTAAAAGTCTAAAAACTCACCAATTCATTTGTCTGATATGACAGTGAACGAGCTCTTGGAGATCTTATTGCCCAAAATCTCAATGTAAATCTTACGTTTTCCACTTTGTCAGAGTAATCTTGATCCCAAGATTGAATAATTTGCTCTTCAAATGATATTGAGATAGGATTGGAAGAATTGAAGAGCTCAGATCATTCGTACCATTTTTACCTTGAGCTTGAGATTTATTTTTATGGAATTGTTGGTTGTTGTACGTGGTAGTTAATATTTTCACTATACAATGAGTGGGGTATTAAGGTTATCTTGATTTGATTTTAGGATATGGGACTTAACTACGATTTAATAAGCAAAAGGGATTCCGAATAAATGAATTTTCCATAAGTTTCATCACACAATTTGTTGCGACTCATATTTGAACTACGAGGACTTGAAACCTGAACTGCAAATTGTTCTAAAGATGGAATATCTTGATATGTCTAAATATTGTTTGACGATTTGAGTTGTCCCTAAAATCCTAAAAGGAAAAAATCCACCAATTAATTTGTCTAATATGACAGTGGACTTGAGCTTCTAGAAATCTATTATAAATCTAAAGTTTCCAAAAATAAATTATAATTTATAATAATTATTTTTGTGATAAAAGTGATGGAGATACACACCTCCACAAGAGTCAAATATCAAATCCAACCATTAATCCCGCCAAAACATGGAAAGAGTTAAACAAATTGTAAATAAATTATAGCTAGAGAGGTTGTAGAACTCAATTTTAATCTAATGAGTCATGATATTCAAATGCTAATGTTATATAATGTTTAGGTCAATGCATATTTCTCCAATGCAGAGATGTCAAACTAAGACACACAGCTACATTTTGGTGCATAACCTCCTTAAGACAAGAAGCGATATTATCCACTCGAGCTTCATGTCATTGCATTAATGTATTTTGTTGTGTATTATAAATTTGCCATGTCAAATAAATTATGATGTCATACTAATAGATTTTGTGATGATTCGAAGACAGTGACAGAACCA